CATAATTGATAACAGCTTGTTTAGTGTTCTCCTCTCCATCACTGCCTCAAATGATTCTTGTTCACAGCCAATGACAGAGCCAGCCCTCCTAATTAGCTTATTGAATCTATTGGAGTCCCTGGTTGCAATACTACTCCCCCAGCAAACCACTGAAGAGAACAAGGCACTAGCAACGACAGACTGATAGAACATTTCCAGCATCTTGCTGCACACACTGAAGGACCTCAGCTTCCTCAAAAAATAGAGTCTGCTGCAGGCCTTTTTATACACAGATGTGCTGTTTGTCTTCCAGTTCAGACAGTTGTCGATAGTCACACCCAAGTATTTGTACTCCTGCACCATCTCCACATCCCTCCCCAAAATGGAGAGGGGCTGTGGAGCAGTTCCCTTCCTCCTGAAGTCGATTACCATCTCTTTGGTCTTGTCCAGGTTAAGCAGCAAATGATTCTGTCCAGACCACTCCACAAACTCATCCACCAGCCTCCTGTATTCCCCCTCCTGCCCACCCCTTAAACACCCCACCACCACAGAGTCATCGGAATACTTCTGTAAATGACATGACTCCGAGCTATACTGAAAATCTGAGGTATACGGGGTGAACAAGAAAGGGGAGAGCACAGTACCCTGTGGAGCCCCCACACCACTCACCACCACATCAGACAGAACTTGACCCAACCGTACAAACTGCGGCCTGTCTGTTAGGTAGTCAGTGACCCAAGAAACAGTCGACCCACCCACACCCATCTGCCGCAGCTTCTCTCCCAATAGTGGAGGCTGGATGGTGTTAAAGGCACTGGAGAAATCAAAAAAGGTGACTCTCACTGTGCCCCCATCCCCATCCAGATGTGACAAAACTCGCTGCAGCAGGTAAAGAACAGCGTCATCAACCCCTAAATGTGGCCGGTAGGCAAACTGCAGGGGATCAAGAGACGGTCTCACTTGCGACTCAAGATGGACCAACACCAGCCTCTCCAGCACCTTCATCACATGCGATGTGAGAGCAATTGGACGATAGTCCCCAAGGCCTGATGGTACTGGTTTCTTGGGTACCGGAACCAAACAAGAAGTCTTCCAGAGAAGTGGCACCCTCTCCAGACTTAGGCTCAGGTTGTAGAGGTGTTGGAGAACAGAAGACAGCTGTCTGGCACACACCTTCAGCAACCTGGGGCTAATGCCATCTGGGCCTGCCGCCTTTGACTGATTTAACCTCTCCAACTGTCCTCTCACCTGGCCAGCTGTTACACTCAAACAAGATAAAGGGTGCTGGGTGGGGGGATGGATATCCCCAGTAGGGGGGCAA